CTGTTCGTTTTGTCTGAAGCACTTGCTCCTATTGAATAAAAAGATGCAGTCAGCAGCAAGTTGCTCTGCAGTGGCTGCATCTGCATAAGCTTAAATTGCTTTCATATTTGGGTGGAAGGAGGTCACGCACAAGAATGAAGAACAACAGGCTGAACCTGGAAACTCCCCGTCTGCTCTCAGCCTCCCACTCTCTCTCTCTCTCTCTCTCTCTCTCTCTCTCTCTCTCTCTCTCTCTGAACCTCGCGCTCTACCTCTTTCACCTCGCATTAGGTGCGTATTGGCATCTTCGTTCATTCTCTGGAAGGGATGCAAACATGTTTGTTTTTAGTCGATATTGTACACACTTCTGTCTTCACACCTCCACCTCCACCGGCACTCCATCCAGCCGCAGCCCATCTCACCATTCACCCTCTAGTTGTTTCCTGATTGGAATTCTAAAGGTAGGGCTAAGTCAGTGGAGATCTGCGGGGCCGGCCTGCCTCACATTGGATATATAGAAACGGAGAACCAATTCCACGGCTTCCTCCGCTGTGTTTATGTGTGTGCGAGCACACAAAGTGTGCATTTATGGGTTAAGAGAAGGCTTTGTCCCTCTTAGAAAGATTGCAGTCCACAGAGAACCACTTATCTGAGCGGCATTTTTCTGTCTGTCTTTATATCTGGGACTTTTTGAAGTGTGTGGTTACTTGCACCTTGGGCTGGGTAAATGCTCTAACTGCTCTTTTTACACACGTTGTAAATCGGAGGTGCGTATGCGAGAGCATCACTGTAATGGAAATGAGTTGTGACGGAGATTATCTGGATTAGGATTACATGTGATATTTTCAAATCGAGAACGAGGTTGGGCATACTCTCTCGAATCGTAATTGCTTTGAGGGAGCATGAATATCACAGCGGGATTGTCATTTTTTTAATTTTACTTCACAACTTGAATAGCAAAACGAATTTAGAATTAAGCGGAGTGGTCTATTATACTTTTATGAAAGCACTCTGGTGTTTCACAGCGAGATCAACTAATGTGCGTCCCATGACACGTCAATCTCACTCTGAAGAAACGCTCAATGGCCACATTTTCACTCACTGCAATATTAATAAAATAATGGGATGAAGAGATTGCTAGATAAGCAGCATTTTGTGCTCGGCTTCATTATTGTAATAATAATAAGGCCTGAGGCTTTACCAAACATAATGCAGTGATGGTTAGAGACAACACAAAGTGAATCAATGACTTACTTTTGTGTTTGTGTTGGTCATGTATTATGTAAATTGTCCTAAACCAAAGGAACTAGAGAAATGTTAATGTGTTTCTTGGAAATAAGTCATTCAGCATGAAAAATAACAAATTGACTAAATAATTCCCTGTAGACAAAAACCAAAATGACCGATTAGTTGACTAATTGACTAAGAGGGGGCATGTAAATGTATCTTTCAAATGTCCCATGGTGATGTCACAGTGGGCCAAGTTCCTGTTTGCTTTAAACATCCACCGTGCTTCGTGTTCACACTTCATTAGGTTCATTACGAGTGCCTGTGGTCCACCGCTACTGGCTAATGGCGACATCGCCACACATTACGAGCTGATGAAACAGCCCCTTTAACTCTGTTTCACCAGAGGCGTGAAGGTGTTGTGAAGGCACCTGCGCTCACGAGAGCACAAAGCTCTGACAGTGAGGAGGTTGACCCGGGCTGTTGCGGTGCGCGTGGACCAGAATTCACAGCAGCTGGACAGACAAGACCACACAGACCCCTTCATCTGTGTGTTTATCGTGGCACGTATACTCGTGTACATTTCCTCCTTGGTGTGTACTTTCTTTTATGTTCACACGTGTGTTTTTCAGTTACTTTTCTCCCGGCTCGTGTGATTTAGAGGATGCCATCAGGGCCACTGACAATCTGTCACTAATAAGCCGAGCGTCTCGCAGGTTGTGTTTTATGCACCGAGTCAGGTTCTTTTTACCACCTACCGCAGCATAAAATGATGTCTCTGTTTACGCTCCGCTGCACCACTGTGTCCCAGTTTGACTCCCCGCTTCTTATTTCTCACTAGCAGTAATGGTTTACAAATGAGATGTGAAGGATCGGCAAATTAGATAATGCCGTCGGCTGAAGGTTTATTTTTTTCTTACTCTATTGAGAACGCGTGTCAGTCACTGGAGACCGTTATCTGACAGTACGTCTCCATTAACCCCCCCCCCCCCCCCCCCCCCCCCCCCCCCGCCCTCTAGTGCTCTGCCACAGGAATAAGAAATAATAATCTGTGATTTGAGTTTTTTTTAATATTCTTAATCTTTAAACTGATTCACCGCGCCTGTTAAAGGTGTGAAAAATGATGTTCAGGCCTCATCTACATTCCATACTTTAACTCTGCCTAATAAATCTGCCAGATTTTCTGTGAAAAATATCTATATAAAGATCATCTTTAGGTATGATATGAACATCTCTCAACACAGCGGGGCTTTATAGCGCATATGTATTTACAGTTTATAATATCTGATGGTATCAAACTGCAATTACTAAGACAGATTGCTGACTCACAAGTTTTAATGATGATCAATCTTTTGCTTGATTCGCTTGTAATGGTGATTTTTACATAGACAAGAACTGTCACATCTTGTTTGCCATCTGCCAAGGTTTTTCTAAACAAAGTACACAAAAAAATTAAAAAAATGGTGTACTTGAATGGAATGAGTCGGTGACAGTCTAGACATTACTCAAATAAGTACATTAAAGAGTTTACAAGAATATTTTAAGAAAAAGGATTAATTTGATAAGGTATTATTACAACTAACTACCATGGTGTTGACTGCTCATACCGCAAAGGTTTTATAGCTCTACAGGAAGATTAATTGTGTGTGTGTGTGTGTGTGTGTGTGTGTG